AAATTGCATTACACAGTTCAAGGGGAATTTTCCAAAATGAGCCTATCAAAAGCCCTTAAAATCACAGCCAAAAAAACGACATCCACATTAAATCACCCGGTATTTCTCCGTTTATTTCATTACTGGTTCTGAGTAATTCCGGTCTTTATTTGCCCGAAGAGAGCAATTGGCAATTGAATTTTTCCCGGCCGAGTACACCTATAGGCCCGTTGACAGAACTCGTCTATGCCCGCACGTGGAAATTAGGGCCTACTATACCGGAAATCGTCGGTTATAAGCCATTAAATGATTTTTAACACTTTAAAAGTATTAGCAAAAACCAAAAATTGAATGAAAATTTGGTTCGTTTTTGGGGCTGAAAACGTTAACGTCAAGGAAAAACGATTTTTTACCACAGCGTAAAAAAGCTCACAAGTTTCGATCCTAAAAAAGCATGATTAGCGCGAGTTTAACAATTAGTATTCCTAATGAGACAATCAAATACTTACTAATCGATAGAGGAAAAGTTGGTCAAATAAACAAAAAATCACTTGTTTTCACGCAAAATGCGACAATCGGAGCTTAACGCGAATTTCAAAACCGCTCTTAGCCTTTGACTCATTTTTAGAGACCCGGTTGAGCAGAAAAGCTCCCGTTGCCATTGGCGGACAGAACATTAAAATACGCACTTTTTTATCAAATCATCAAATGACGACTACCTACTGCTTAAAACTGTGGAGTTTTTTGGGCTTTCCAGCAGCAAGCAAATTATTCTCAACGTTTCGCAGACTTGAGTGGTTTTGCTTAAATTGCATTACAAAGTTCAAGGGGAATTTTCCAAAATGAGCCTATCAAAAGCCCTTAAAATCACAGCCAAAAAAACGACATCCACTTTAAATCACCCGGTATTTCTCCGTTTATTTCATTATTGGTTCTGAGTAATTCCGGTCTTTATTTGTCCGACGAGAGCAATTGGCAATTGAATTTTTCCCGGCCGAGTATACCTATAGGCCCGTTGACAGAACTCGTCTATGCCCGCGCGTGGAAATTAGGGCCTACTATACCGGAAATCGACGGTTATAAGCCATTAAATGATTTTTAACA